CAGTAATATTTTTATACGTGTTTGCAGAATTAAACATGAATGGTTAGCAGTGAAATTAAAGAAAAAAAAATTGATTCCCATTACATGTTTCTCAGTAGCATCTGTCTTTACAATTAAAAGAACTATAGGAAACAAAAGTTGTTTAAAAGTACAAAGCCAGTGGTTCATGAAATGGACAAGTCATGCGCAGACTTGCATACAATTAACCCATACGTACATACACAGTTTAGTTTCTAGATTTCAAAATCCTTTGTGTTGATAACTCTAGAACCTTTTGTTATTGTCTATGAGAAGTCGGCATTATAAACATGCTTTAGTTTTTAGTTAACGGCATACGCAGGACAGCTGAGCTGGTGTCAGGAAGGAGTCTGGGATTCGTACAGTTTCACTCTGCAACTCACATGTTTTATTAGTAACAAAGCCGGATATCTGAAGATCTGTCATTTGTTTTTAAACTACGGGGTCTTGTTTTAAACAGTTGACTTGTATTGGTATAACTATAAGGTCGAGTTATCTAACATCAGTTTGGAGTTGGTATTGTTTTATTTGCAAGTACCATACAGATGTGTTTATTTTAAAAGATTCTAGACACTTCTGATTGAGGATTTAATATTGTACCTATATCTTGAAACAATTGAGCAAGGAGTCAAAGTCATACACATCCTGGTTTGTTGTATTCTTCATCAACATTATACCTGAGTTGCAATTGTGAAAGTACGGCTTTATTTTTCATCAACAGTAACATCTTCGAATAATTTACCGTATGGATGTCATATGACCAATATATTCTGTTTATCTTATAGTGTGTTTGGATATTTATAATTCACCAGTATGTATACCATACCTGATTATTATATTTCAGGGGTTCAAGAGAAAATCTGGGTGAATACATTTCATGAATTTTATCAATGAATAATAAAAATAGATAATTTGTACCGGCAACGGGCGTCACCATGTCATAGGTAAACATTAGGTGTCACTGTCATCACACATTGTGGAAATGTTTGTTCCTACTGCAACACTCAAGTGCCTATGATAAATTTAACAGATGGACTATGGACCAAGATTGACCTCTCAACAGGGAGAGAGTCAGATGTAAAACTTGAGTTTTAATTCAACCTAGCATTTTATATCCTTCATAATGGAGTTTCTACAAATAAGGTGATACAGGAAGAATAGAAACTATTTAGGATTAGTTTTGTTTGTTGTTGGATGACAATTATGAGCAAACCGGTTCAATTTCTTTCCTCGGTTTTTGGAAGTAAACGGAAAAAGTCAAACACAAACAGTCCTCCTAAAAGTTTTCCACAGGTATGTTGTACATTATTCAACGACAGGTATGGTATGCAAAAGATTTGTAAATGTTGGAAAATGTTTTGTGCTGTTCTTAATTTAATTGTTATAATGGGTTGATTATGTTAGGAGGTATTATTGTTGATATATTTGGTATACTTTACAGATTAATATTTAAGTTCAGCTGCAATGAGAACTTACGTACATTATGTAGTAATAATGAACGTTGCTATTGACGTTTAATCAGGTTGATACAGTACAGTAGTCTGTATATCAGATAAAAAGTATACAGTACTGTAATGTGTAATTTTCATTATGGCGTTGAGACAACACCTACTGTAAAATCACATTCACTTTACAAAACAAGTTTATGATTTAAAAAGTAATAAATATACTTATGAATATTAAACTAGTTACTTTAAGAAATAAATTAGATTGCAAAAGTCAGAAACAAAAGCTAAAAACAAAATTTGGAGAATTAATTCATAATTTTATAGAGTATGTTTATATTACAGTAATTAACAAGATACTTTTATACTTTTAATAATTTAAAATTTGGTGATTAAAAAACACTTTGCCAAACAATTTATTTCTGTCCAAAAATAAAAAATAAACAAATAAAAAAAAAGAATTCATGAACATACTAGACCACATTTCACTCTGTTTTGTTTAATGA